CTTCTAACTAGAGGAGCCTCTTTATGTGCTTACTTTGCTGAATAGATTGGTATTCGTTTGTGTCGAATCTTTTCCAACGCGGCCGAAGGCAAGCACGCGGGAGTCTTCATAACTCTAAATCAGGCTTCAACGCAAACAAAGTGTGCCGTATGGCTGATGGGATCTCTCGAAGCTCGTTGTTAATTAAACGAGCGGGCAAAGTAACCGATGTCACCGCACTGCAGGCCGCAGCCAGAGAACATCACGTCGATTACAACAAGCCCCGGTTTTGAGATGCGCTGATGTTGAAAAGCGATACATAGACCTGCAGGCCATCGCGCAAAACTTTGTAACCATCTTGACAACGCGCGTTGAACGTGTACCCACCATAACAAACTAATTTATTCTTCAGAAGTGAGTTATAGGGACAATGGGGGCAACACGGTGAGGGCGGCATACAAACCATTCTTTCGGCAGGCGAGGCCACGCAGAAGGTAATCATACAGAACGCTTGGTTGAATCTGAGCTAGGTTGCCCCTGCCAATTTGCAACGAGCTAACTGTCGCCTTTTTTGGTGATTTTAAGATAAGAACATACACAAATGAAACCTGCGACGTAGCATGGGGCGAGCTAATGCCATTTTCGCCTGCCTCGGTTTTAGATTTTGCGCTTCGTTATTTGCATTGGTTCCTGATATGCAAGTTCCCCGTATAGGTGCGCATAGACGGGTGACGCGCTTGGAGAAAAGCTCCTAAAGCAAGTGAGCGTGAAAATCACCTTCATGTTGTTTCTCTAAGTGCAATCACTAACATGGTAAGATTAACTCATGACAACAAACCTCCTGAACTATTTTTCAACACGCGGCCGCAACATTCCTGTGCCTACGACCTATTGCTGTCAAAGATCGGTTCGATACCACGCGATCCACGATCCAGCAAAACTGAAAGCGCGTACAGATTATAATAGGCGGAGGAACTCCGATGTTAATATAGCTGCTGTCAACTACATAAACTTGTGATTAAAATAGCGAAAAATGGCCTCACGCTCTCTTTTCGTGTTAATTTATACTATATCTATGATCGCATAGTTTTGAAGCATGCAGATGCTATGTGAAATCCAAGTGGATTGTACAGATGGCGCAAGTTTCTTCTGCGGGTTCCAAAAATGAGTACATGCATGCTTTTTAACAGTTCATCTTTATGTGCCCACGTTTTAACCAAGGCAAGTGAAACAACAGGAACATGTGCTCTTTTCGCCCGATTTTCCTTACAGCCTTTTTGTTCTGCGCAAGTATAGCGTGTTCTGCATCATGCACTTGTCCCTTTAGTCGGAAGTAACGTTGTGGAAGATAGCCTCATTCGTGCATGGGTTAAGGAAAACAGGCTGTATTTGTCTTCCTCTTTGCTAGACCACATAAATTATAAGCAAGGTGTTAAGTCCATGTTATTTCGCGTTGAATATTAAATATCATAGCCAATTAGAAAGAGAAGCACTGGTGCTCATAGATGCAAGATTGTGCCACCATATCCGTCGTGCAGCCGATGTGCCATGCGCGTCTTGCTTACCATAGTGGGGTTATTGCTTATGGAAATTTCGGTAAAGTGATCCAGTCCGGGTAATACTCCGTAAACGCTACCGCCCACTGACGTTCTAAACTGCGGATTTTGAAACAATTCACATACACGGTAGTGTAAATAATGTATGTTCACCTTGTTTACTACTTAGATATGACATGGCCCTATAGTATCTCGGCAAACGCTCTGTCTACCATTTCGAATGTATTGACATTTGTGCACTTGCGTTGACTCCAGCGAAGAATGTTTGAACGTATATATCACTGAAACTCGATCGCGGTGCTGCAGGCGAAAACTGTTTAACTTCCGGGCTTTATGTTTCATCACTCCGACAAGAACATACAAGATTACCAAGCACGCTGATCGAAGACGGCATACTTGAATTGCCTCCGGTGATGTTTCCATACATGCCGACAGACTTCATCAACGAGAACACCCAATATAATATATTAGCCAGAGATTGTTTCAATAAAAAAAATGCATCGCCTAGCCTGAAAGCACTGTCTGCCCAGCCGACATATGGACTGTCTCCGAGACATATGGTTGAGTTGTCTTTGGTGTTTTTGCTTATTAGAATCGCTCTTTTCTCCCGGTGTTGTGGTTGCAGAGAATGCTTATAGGAATCCCATAAGTGACGCGCTGTATAAGGTGCAACGTATGAATATTGTACCATTGTGTTATTGTTGTTAGCGTATATATCTAAAGTTGAAGTTGCCCAGCCGCACCACTGTTTGTTCTACGTAGACTGACCTATGTTTAAGCAAGTTTCTAAGCAAGAACGCGGGGGAAAAAAAGCACCCTTCCTGTATACGTTGCTCCTTTCCAGATCAAACACATGTGAGCCCCAGAAAACACAATACGACCAACAGAAAACACAATACAACTATGTCCTTTCCCGCTATACATGTATGAACATAGGCTATAATCGCGGATAAGTGGCACTTCTTTCTTATCTTTACACGGAAACCATATTATATATTTCCAGCACTGACTTAACATGCACCACGCATATAGTGGTCGAAAAGAACCTGGGGAATCTTACTAAGACACACAAAAGGCGCTATGTATACTTATGTAAGTCAAATGTGCGACAGGAGAGCTATATATAGAGACTTCTTTCACTGCCATCACAGTGTTTGACACGTTTGTACCAAATGCTCAATGAAAATTGGGGTAAATAATTTGTGACTCATAATAATATGTGACTCTCATACATATTTCCCCCCATACCATTCAGGGACACAGTCACATGCATGGCATGCCTAACTTACGTATACCTTATCCAGCGCAACTTCTTCATTTTGATTATGAGAGCGATAAATGTGTTAACATTGTCGCGATTTTACTACGAATTCATCATGTTTAAATACATGTTTAGTTTATTTTGTACGCCTGCACGTATAATCACGTGACACTATTCGCAATGCTGAGTAATGTGATACAAGTGTCGACAATTTCATACCAAAGTGTGGACAATTTCATCTCTCCTAAAGCGTTGCCCCTTGCGCACCCATCGAAGAACGTGCGGTACAGGTCAGTGAAGGCCATGTGAATGGTTACCACCAAGTCCATGCGCTTACATTCCAAAAGTATGTGTACAGCTATATTACTGGATGCGCACGACCAAACGATGACGAAAACATGCAACTCCGTAGCTACATATGTCTCGAGAAAGCACACATATATGTGGCCATCTATATAGTTGTAAATAAGCGCGTATGATTTCAGTATGGGAAGGGTTATGCGGACTCCATTGGCAGCATCGTTCCGCAAGCTGATGCGTTTTCCTGTTCCGTGCGTAAACGCATGTTCTGTAATCTACGAACCAGCGCGACGCTTACACGCGGATGCGAATGCAACGACCAGAGATAAATACGTGAGGAGCTGCAGGCGTGTACTGCTGCCTGAGACGACGTAAATACATGTTTCCTTACCAACAACTTAACGCGAAGTTTCTAATACAGTACGAGCGTAATAGCGAAGTTATAGACATATTTCCCATCGATTTAAAGGAACATTAATGTTGTATTTTGTGGGCACGAACATGCGTGAACTGCGCATTCGTGTTGCGGAGATTCATTTCGTTATTATCAATGGGAATATTGCGCAAGCTACAAAGGCACCATTTGAAAGCTTAGGATTTGTTATAGTTTTGTTGCAACGACAGTCCATAAAAGCGCAAAAAATGCGCATTCAAACGCACTTCTATACCTCCAATGATAATGGGGCCGAAGTTAGTTACCGGACGTTAGCGCCATGTTATGGCATGCGGATGTGGATAAAACCCGTTGCAATATTCTTTATAAAACGTGCGCATGTAATACAAACAATTGCTGCAGTTCGAAGTGATAATTAGCGAGCAAGAGATGACCGCTGGAATAAAACGAGAACGTTATACATAATACCCTTATAATGGCGCATTGTATCAAAGAACGGCGTATTCGCGCTAAGGAACGTTTTAATGAAAGATCACGAAATGCATATGAAACTATTCTTGTTCGACAACGTATAGTCGGGCTTTCAAAATAACCGGAAACGTCAAACTAAGTAACCATGATGCGGCCAGAAATGGAAGTTACAAATAGTTAAGTATAACACGTCAAATGGTGTATTGTGCACGTTGCCACGTCCAAGTCAAACGGGTGCCTTAAACACAAAATGGCATATCATTACTATTCACAAGAAAACACTTCCCCCACAAGTTATAGCTACCTGGCAATATACTGGCCACACGTCGGCGCTGTATGAGCATATATAATAAAAAGACATAGCCTCAATATACACACGTGTTAATACGTGGAGCAGGAAACCGCGACAGCCTGTAAGAAAATATCAGTTAGCGTTTCTGCGGCGCGCTGATGAATGCTCGTGCAAGTATATATATAACAAAGCGAAATAAAGAGACCAGTCAGACTAACGTATTCGAAGGCCTTTTTTTTTCTTTTCACTGTTGTCATTCTTTATTTTTGACCGTGTCGCGCGCATGGTTCCAGTGACAGTGAATGTGCAATCTATTTACAAATGGTTTTCTTTTCTTCGCCCACAACTCGGGGCGCATAAACGGGCGGCACGGCTCGCGACAACAGGTAGGCATATTTTGTCATTTCTTTTTTTGTTCCTCGTTTTCTGTCTTCTTTTATACACAATCGAGTCTCTCGCACGCACACACACACACCATCTTGGCCGATTTTTCGTCTGCTGATGAGGGTCCACACGGCCAGAGAAGATGATGGGGCATAGCGACAGAGCGGGACAGGGGCGAGTGAATAAAAAAAGATAAGAGATAACGAACCTGCTGATGCAGACTGCATGTCAGCCGAAGCCCCTCCTCTTTCGGCATCTCTCTCTTCCGACTGTTGTGCTTGTTGTATACACACGACGACGACGAAGCTTTTTTTTTTTTTTTCTTCTTTCATTGCCGCTGACTGAGCGAGTAGAAAGGATTAAAGACAGAGACTCGGCTAGGATTTCACGCGCGCATTGCAGATGAACGAGTGGGCAGTCTGTGTCCGCGCTGTGTTCGCGATCGTGTCTTCTGCCCTCTTTGTTTCCTCCGCAATCAGTCTGCACGCGTAAATCACTCACGCACACCACACCCGCACAAGCGCGCCGAGTTGTTCTGCGGGCGCACAACCGAACCACATCGCGCGTGAGGTCTTCAAGAAGCAGCAGCATGGCTATACAGCTGAGCAAAACGTGAGAGATACCTTCGGGCGTGCATTTGGTGCCTGCTCTACCGGGAATGGAACGAAAGAAATGAACACACTCGAAGAAACCACTGCTGTCTCTCACGTTTTTCCGCGCGCGCGTTTTTACTCTGCCTGCGAGATCTGTGTATGTACAGTTGTCTGCCATGGGCGAACAGAGTCAGTGGTCACACGTCGGCCGCACTCACCGGGCTGGTCGTCGGTGCGCTACTGCAGTTCTTGCTGCTGCTGTTGGAGCTGCTGCTGCTGCTGGTAGTGCTGCATGGCGAGCCTGTGGTCCGTCGCTTCGCCCCCTTGCGGCAGGTACATGGAGATCATGTCGCGCAGGTCGGGCGTGCAGCCGCTGCGACCGCGAGGGTTTCCGGGCGAGCCCTGGGGCGGCGTGGGACTGGACTCGGCGCCGCCTGACTTGAGCTGCATCTGGGGCACCGAGGCGTACGGGCTCGGTGAGCCGTACGAGCCGTTCATGTAGGGCAGCTGCGGGTCGTAACGTGGATAGGGGACTTGCGAGCTGTAGCCCTGGTACGCTTCGTGCATCATGGCCGCCGCAGTGCTGTGGCCGTAGCCGTTGGGCATGTAGCCGTTCATGGAGTACATGTCGCGCGGCACCTGGGGAGCGCTGGCGGGCCGCACGGCGGCGGCAGCGGCGTCGGCGGCCGAGAGCAAGCCACCGGCCAACGGGTACTTGTCCTTCTTGAGCAGCGTCTTCGTCTTTCGTCGGGGCCTGTACTTGTAGTCCGGGTGCTCCTTCATGTGCACCGCGCGCAGCCGCTTGGCCTCGTCGATGAAAGGTCGCTTCTCGGCCTCCGAGAGCAACTTCCACTCGGCGCCCAGCCGCTTGGAGATCTCCGAGTTGTGCATCTTGGGGTTCTCCTGCGCCATCTTCCGTCGCTGACCACGCGACCAGACCATGAAGGCGTTCATGGGCCGCTTCACGCGGTCCAGGTCCTTTTTGGAGGCACTGCCGCCGCCGTGGCCGCCGTGTCCGCCAGCCGCGTGGCCCGGGTGCGGCTGCTGCTGGTGGTGGTGTTGACCTCCCTGGAGGGTCGTGTGTCCTCCCACCTGTTGCGGAGGGCTCGACGACACCACGGGCTTGAGGTCCTCCATGGCTGGTTGGTGCGGCGGCGGGCCGCCGTACGGGAAGGCGGCCGCGTACTCGCGCTCCAACGATACCAGCGCGGCCGGGCTGGCCTGCTGCTGGCGGTGATGGTCGGCGGCTGTGACGCCGCTCGAACATAGCTGGCACGGGCACGCCGCGGGCCGCATGTCGGCGGCCGCATCGTTCTGCCACGCGGCGGCGGCGCGCGGCCAGGGCGAAGTCGACGTGGAGGCCACCGCGAACGCTTGGTTGAGGCCGGGGCGACGGGGGCACGATGACACCCGCGCGCACCGTTCCGCACAAAGCAATACGCACTGCGCGCACTAAGGCCGACAAGCTCGGTGTGACCGCTGTGTGCCGCCGGCCGCCCGGTCCGCTCGGTAGTCTCGAGGGGGCCCGGGCCCTTCTGGTCTTCCTATTGGCCACCGCCTCCTCTCGGTGGGAGGCGCTGCGGGACCCGGCCGGCCCACGTGCGCGCACGCGCAGGCGCGGCCTCGCAAGCGCCGCCGCCGGTGACCAAAAGTTCGAGAAGCCGAGGCGACCGCTACGCGCCGCTAGGTTACAGCGCGCTCGCGCGTGCACGCGGCGTTCATGCCTGCCGGTCGGCAGCTTCCCCGTAGGCGCGGCGCTGCCCATTCGCGTAAGGTACCGTCGTTGAATCCAGCCACAACGGGCTCTTTTCTTAACTCTAAGTGCGAAGAACGCGGAAGGAGCAGGGTTTGGGAAGTCTTGCAATCTGGCTAATATGCTACGCTATCAGAAAGCTAAAGGTGGTTTACAAGCGGCATTGTCGTTCCTTTAGTTTTTCAAGAAGTTTTCATGACTAGTCTGCATCGATTGTACTGCGTTGCTTGCTCCATGTAGTGTGCGTGAAAAGCAACTTTGTTGTTACCCTTCTGGAGGTTTAAAGACACATATGCGGTCGTAAATGGTGACAATTTTGTTGAGCGGCTGCTGAACAAAACGTGGACATTTTTAGCGCCATGATGTGTGTTTGAGTATGCGCGCTATCCCCGAATGGCATGGAGCGATTTGAGATCTCCAATTACGTGTCACGCTCAGCTCGTGCATTTTGAGTCAGGCCAAGTCTATGGGCACCGCGTGTACACTCGGCTTCGGTGTTTATCGAGCTCCGTCCTTGACGTTCGTTCGAGCGAGAAACGTCCTCAGTTAAGCGGGCAAATCCAACAAAAGCTGCCGTTGCCCTCTCCTATTCCGCCCCCCAACCCTTCCGTTTTTCGCGCGGCGTGCCCCCATAGAGACGTCCTGGAAGCCCCCACGCAGCATTGTCCATCCCCACCGCATCGGGCAAAAACGTGGCAACTCAGTGCTATACCGTGGCTCTTAACCGTGCCCAATAACTGTCACCCGACGAGGGTTAGCAGCGATGTTTCCGACAACGCCGTGCCTCCCGGGAAGGGGAAGGGGCCGAGTGCAAATTAAAGGCCCGCTGCGAGCACAGGCAGTATACTACACCGATGAGAGGGCCTTCTTCATTATGCTACAATGTGCACGGTTGGTGCCGTTTCTATTGAAGCGCTCTCTGGTTTGGCTTCGGTCTGTTTGCATAGAGACTCCCGGCAGTAACCGCTCTTCAGAGGGTGCTCGTAGGCGCGTTCTGTAAATCCACCACCGCTTTATTTGCCATACCGAAGCAAGCCATCGTGTTCCTCTGAACTTGTTACCCATTCCGATGTTGCGCGTGACGCAACTGCCTATGGTGTGTTTCCTAATGTACGTCTTCACACTCGCGCTGTCGAAGGTGAGGTTGTTAGGGCCATTTTTTGTATCGTCTTATCAAATAGAGTGCTGAAAAGAGAAGAGTTTGAAGACAAGGAGGTGACACCAGAGGAGCACAACTCTACTTTGCGAGAAAAAAAAAACAGCACTTTAAGTACAAAAAAACGAGAAAGCTTCTGCAGCCACTGATAAGTGTCGTGTCGCTAATTGGCATGTGCCCGTAGTAGAACTCTGCCGACGATCGTGTTCAACATGGCTTTCCGGTCTTGGACCCACAGGAGTGACTTATCTTTCTTGAAAATAAACTGCATCATCATCTCGCAAGCTGGATAAATTTGCGGTCAGTAGCAGGGTCGTGTTGTCAACAAATCTCTGCACTGAAAGCCCGTCGATTCTCGAGTAGCTAGGCCACATTGCAGATGGCGGATGCATTCGCGCCCCTTTCTTACTGGTTCTCCAAGCGATACATGGGTGAAATGCCAAGGCCCTTTTCTGACGCTCAGTGGCTTGAGTGTAAATAAGACTTGTATGCGCATAAAGCCCGTCCTTTATGGTCACTTTTCCTGATACCATTTCACAATACCAAGCTTACTTGGTATTGTGAAATGCCAACCTGCTACGTCCAGGAGTAGTGCAATAGAGTATAGTATGCACCCCCCCCCCCACCCAAAACAAACATGTTACAACTAAGGTTGCTACAAACACATGTATACCGGCAATCTACTTGCGATGTTACTCCGATTTCTAATACGCTCTCGCTGTAAAATCTTCCATAAACTAATAGTTGGGCACTATATTAGCCGAGGAAGTGGCATAGGTACCGGTAAAGAAAGCACTTTCTGGAGCACATTGTTTAAGGGTCAGGCGTATATGATGCACAAAAATTATGAGGGAGGACCGGCCGAAACGGGCCAATGAACGCTTCGCCCCTTCCCACTTCTTGGTGGCACATCTACATCTTGTGTAGCGACCAGCTATTTACGGGAAGGTACTCAGAGGTGTCGCGGGTTTATGTGCGTTCATAAGACTTTCATTTTGAAAATGGAGCTGTTTAAGCTTTTTATTTCCGATGTTTCGCGTGACCAGAAAACGAACCTGTGATTAGCGCGTGCAACGCAATAGCTCGGCCGGCGCACGTTCTTTGTCGTCTTCTTCATCTTAGGAGTGACAACAAATAAAGATCGTTTGCGTTAGATTACGCAATGTACATTGAAGAAGTGAGGATAATTAGAATACATGAGTTTAGCACTCGCGTTTGGGGGGGGGGGATAATAAGGCCTGAGAACAGCTCATCCACTAAGGTTAACACAATGAATGTGCGATGCATGTGCGAACTGCAGAAATCAAAGAGAAACACAGAACAGATAAATGGAAGGGAAAGCAGAGAAACAGAGGGAGAAAGAAACACAGTGACAGAGAGAGGCAGAGAGAGATCACCTTGCTAATTAAGAACATGATATGATAATACATTGTCATTGAAAGACGTGCTAATTAGGACCTGTCTAATAAACCAGGTGGACCACATGCTTCGCTGTTTGTACAGCCATGCACCATTTGTGCAAGCTGCCCAAATTTCTGTGCATGCTTTACTCAATTAACTCAAATCATTTGCCCCACTCTTACGAAGTTTCTCAAGTAATATATCTAGTTCTGTGATTCTAGTGACCTTGTAGGAAATCATGTTTCCGTGTATACAGTGTACAACCTTGCTATCATTGGCGATTAGCAGTGCTCACAATCTGTTTGTAGTTGCTTTTACTTGTGGGTGAGTGTGCGTAAGCAAGTGATTGCGAGTGCGGCAACCAAGCCACGTTCCTGAAGGTCATTGCACGCAGACTTTCTCCCCCTTTATGACTCCGCTTGGGCCAAATGTTTTTGTCACAATCTGTGTTGGCTTGCCCGTCAGCAGAATTAATGGGTTCATTTACCTGACGGGCAGTGTATCTCGGAAATCATAAGCTGCAATGCGAAGTAAGCTGAAAATGTGTGGTACTGCGCCTTAAGGCGATTCGAGCTGCCAATCACAGATGCCGGTCCTTTGTTATTCCACCATTGCCCAGCAAGAGAGAGAGAAAAAGAAACATGTGATGAAATAAATAAATTAAGACAAAATGAACACCACCGAATCGATTCAACTCCACATCCGAGCAAACGAAATTTAATACACCAGGTGAGCCAGAGGTTTTGTGTCACTATATGTATGGGTAAATAAATAGTGAATGAAATAAGCTGTTTTTAAAGAACATAGTTTACTCCAGCGAGAGCCATAGTTAAAAGCACTTTCAGTGATTTCACGAAGATTCTAGGATATATGGAATGTACTGTGGAAAGGCAAATAGAGAAAAAAAAAAGAAAGTAATAAAAAAGACGAAAAAAAAGAAAGCATACGTAACACTAACGTATACAAAAAACGAGGCTGCTTACCGTATACTTGATTATCTGCACTTTTTTGCGATTGTATTATCAATATTTTCTATCTTTATTTTTGTTTTCATATACAGTCAGGCTGCGTGCTTGAACAGTTAATGCAGAAAAGGGTGAAAAGAACGTGCCAATTTAATGAACCTTTTTTTTGTTACCTTACTTAGTCACCATGATCTCTTGCTTGTCTTTTTTTTTCTTGCACCTATACGTTATTAAATACCTACGTAAGAGTTTTTTCGTAGCTAGTTCCTTGTGAATGAAACTTCCCTTTTACTGAATACCGCTCGCCACAACACTGCTTGATTTTGGAGTGTATTCAACAGAATGGTACTGCAGACATAGCCTTCACGTACATTAACGATAGACAAAACTAAATCGCTATTGAATGATATTGGCCATGAGTGCATTTTCTTTCGGTTTAGCTTTCTATTTCGGAAGAGGCAAGTCCGTGGCTCCAATCACGTTTAATTCATCACGGGGTCAGCTTAAGCTTTTCGAACCGCGAATCAATTAAAGTATGTGTAATGTCCACTGCTGCCGTGCCGCGATCAGCCTAGTACAAGCAACAATGCTGAATAGAATTTGCCTGCCACCATTTCTTGTGTGGCTCTTATCCAGCCCACACGATGCTACTAAGCCTGGCGATTACTTGGCTCGAGTATGTACGAAGAGTCCGCGGTTATCCAACGCATTTCTAAAAATGGTCTCAAAATGTCGACAGGCATTCAAGTACACAGTGTACACGGAAGCACCGATGTCGAACTGCATAAAATGGTTACTCGACCACAAACACTCCCGTAGCACTATTTGTCGATGAAGCCGCTATGAAGCCCGAGTCTCAAGCCACACTCGATCACGACAATGCACAGAAGGAAATGCGTGGTGCTTCGTGTCTGAAACGATTTTGCATCGTTACACGAACGCGTGAAAAACGATCTCCAATACACTCTTTTCTGCATCTATATACATCCCCGTTATTCAATCGGGTTCCTTGCTGTATACAAAGTGAAACCCCCATACTTTATACATACGCTCTATCAGTCGCTATTGATGTTCATGTGGGCATACGGTGTGTGCGCATGTCCTTCCATTGAATGCTTTATACAGCATAGCATACGTATGAAGTAACGAAATTCTCAAACATGGAGGTTCCATTGGAGCGCC